AGAGCTTGTCCCCTTTAGATGCTAATTAATGTTCAAACTATTGCGAGCATTGACAATTACATTGCAATTTAGTACAAACTTTGTTAAAACGTATCAATTTAGAATTTTGGTAATATAAGTTAATGCAATCATTTAAAGGTTTCGTGTGCTAGGTCACTTAAATTTAAAATATGCAACCCACCCAAGAAAACTCATTGTTTTAAATCATATGCTTTATTTCCAATTTATTGTTTTAAGTTAGATGGATTCGATATGTACAGAGCAATCAGACAAAACGTTTGTAACCAAATACCCCCTAAACAAATATGAGATTGCGGTCAAATACTCCAACATTGTATTCGTATAGTACTGTCTACTTTTCTTCATATGTTTCATTGTGAGAAAAATATGTATTATTATTGTTGGCGTCCGCGCCAAAGCGCGACGCCCTAATGGAATGAGAAAGGGCAATTGCAACTTCTCGAGCCTTTTCGTCGGCCATAATAGCCGAACATTCCGATTGGTATGCGTGTTTGATTATCAATAATGAAATGTCGCGATATGAAAAATGAATAGTGAACTGAATGACTACGCAATGTAAACATATTCAAATAAAATTATCTTATCCGTCAAATAATCGCGCTCTTCGGTATCTTAATTAATCATTTTTTAGTACACAGTGGGTTATTATGTGTGTTATTGCTTTACCTATAAATAAAATGATGACCTGAACATTGTGAAAGTCCGAAAATCTATTTTCTATTGATAGAAGTAGTTTTAGTTTACCGAAACGGTCATTCGTGTCGCAACAAACTGGAGAATTTTGCAGGAAATGAAATGCAAACATATTAAAACAATTAATTGCAATTTTTAAGTAGGCAATTTTTACGAATTGTTTTATCATAGTATTATCATTCTTCTTCTGCAATTTTAACATGAGTTGTAATGGGTTTATTGATAGGCATGTAAACAAACTTATTGGTCAGACTAGGTCATTAAAATAGTAGATTGACCTCTCCAATAAATAAATTAACATACTTTGTTCATTTTGACTATTATGTTGTATGTTCCAAAGAAAATATCACATGAACTTGAAATTCTATCAAGTAACCAATATTAATGATAATATCCAAAAATACACCTATATAGTATAAATAGGCTAAGGTCACACTTAGATCTCTTTGAACAACGCTTGTCCGTAGAAAAACCCCTACATTCACAGATAGATTTTTATTTAACCTTGCAAATATTTTCATCATTGTGAGTCCGAGTGTCCACATATGATTCAGGTCCCTGCAACCAAGGTTTTGTCCGAATTTTGTCGATTGTGACATCTTTGTAGATAATAGTGTAAACAATAGTTTTTATCAAAACATTGACAAGAGTAGTGTGTTTATGATGTCATAAACACACTACTGACAATGGTTTTCGATTTAAAATCACTTTTTTTGTAAATGATCCATAATTATAAATATTTAAAAAAATTCCTTCACTTGCGCCGCTATTTTTGGCGTGTGCCAGACCCTCTGTGTAGCAATAAGGGGTTAGTAAACAAGATTAAACTTCTAGAGGTGTTAGCAACAAATTACAAAAATACTTTTTGTATTTAAATTTATTATATATTATCAAGTAAACGTCATTTGTTTAATTCATCAGTTTACAATAACAACAATACTTTAAACAAAAATACTTTTATAACTTCTCTTGCAAGTTAATTTTATAATATAATTATATAGGCACAACACAGTGTCAAGAAAACGTCATTTGATTAAAATCATCAGTTAACATTAACAATAATATTCTGTGTTCACTTTTGTGTCTTTGTACTTTTATTGTTTTCAAGCTAACACACGTATTGTATTTGTCAATGCAATATACAACATAAGAAACTTTTCAAAATCGTTCATTTTTTTCTTTCAAGTCATACCTTAAAACAAGAAAGTACATTTACTAAGCAAAATTTGCCATTTATTTATTAAAAAATAACATAATGTATATTTTCTTTGTAACAGCTTGACATGTAACAAGTTTGCTGAAGCTATTTTAATAAAACTCAGTCTTGTGCTTTACATTCTGTCAAAGCTATTGTATACTGGAAAAATATACAATAAAAAAGCTTTCTAAAATCGTTCAATATACAATCATTAGTCAAGCCAAAACACTTTAGACTATATAGATTTTAAAACAACTTTTATATCAGCAATTAAATTAAAATGTTACATGCCCCGGTGTAAGGAAAATATCACTTAAATAAAACAAAATTCAATTTGAATGTCACGTTGTTGTTGGTTTTTTAACGATGTACCCTTATTTCAGCTTATATAGCCGGACTCCTTATTATACGTGTAAAGTAGTGATCTTCTAAATTAACAATTAAAAAAACAAAGCAAGCGTACAAAAATAAAACCTTAGATATTGGTCATCATTTAACTTGAATGTCACGTTGTTGTGTTTTCTAACGATGTACCCTTACTCCAGCTAATATAGCCGCACTCTTATTATATGTGTGAAGTTGTGATCTTCTAAGTTAATCATTTTTAAAAAAGTTCTAACCAAAGCAAGCGTACAAAATAAAACCTTAGATATTGGTCATCATTCAAATTGTATGTTATACAAAATAAAACATTCAAATATCAATAATCAAATTCTACAAACTACATGCCATACAGTGCAACAAAAACAAGAATAAAACAACAAATCATTCAAATATCAGTCATCATTTACACTTCTTATCATGCTTAGAATGTTTTATTGCATGAAACAGCAATTGTGTAGCAACATGATGGCATACAAATATTGGTTAACACATTCATATACACTTCATATCATGCCAGGAATGTAATACTGCATGAAACAGCAATTGTATAATAACGTAAGGGCATATAAATAATGGTTAACACATTCAAATTGTCAACACATCTTACATAACAACATTTGAATAGTTATGTAGTCATTAATGACACTCGGTATCAAACTTTTAACATAAACTATTAACTAGAAATTCAATTATAAAACAGCAAGTGTATCATACAAATATTTAAAATCATTCAAATGTGTGTCATACATCATTATCATAATTCCAATATCAGTCATAATTCAAACTGCATTTGTACCCATAATATAATAAGTTATATATGAAACAGCAATTACATCACTGTCATTATTCCAATGTTATGCCATACCAACATAGTATCTTGGCATAATTTGTTGGTTACAATCTTAATATAACCAAAAGGCATACAAATAAAAGTAAAATTGGTCATTTCCATAATAAATGTGAATGTTGTGCAAGAAACTGCAAAACACATACAACACATACAAAAATACACAAAAAATATAGGTATATGTTGATACTAAATACAAACATTAAACTATTTACAAGTTGTCTATCTTAATTAGCAATATAAATGTAGGATTTTGATTGTTATAACAATCATAAAACACAGCAATTGACTTTACATTTACCAGAGTCATATTTTTCTTGCTGGTGGAAACAAATTAATTTAACCATTTTAAAAGAGTTTATAATCAATTATCGAACTTATGTGACACTTTTTACTCTCATGCATAAATATTCATTATCTATATACTAATAGCCAATGTGTTATTTTGTACAGGTTAATTGGTCTGGTTAATTTTCACATACCATACTTATTAAAGAACTAAGATCTCAGCTTGACCCTCTTGGTAATGTCTTGGCAATTGGTCATACTAAACGGCTTTCCTAGAACTAACCAAGAATCAAGGAATAAGTCATTGCTTTATATTGCAGAAGATATTAAAATCAGGCAGAATTAACAATATATGTCAGTATAAAAGACAATTGCTAGAAATGATTTTTTTACAAATTGCTGTGTCAATCAAAAATATATACAGGAACATTCAAACTGCAATCAAAACGGAAATACAAGAAGCACGAGTCATCTTTTGAAAATACAATTATACAAAAATAATTTTAATTAAGATATCAAATATTTACAAATGACTTCTCTCTATCTCATGTGTGTTCATCAATTACTTGTATATACATTTTCCCTTTGAATTGCATTCAAACAATCAAATCAATCCCTAAAAACTTAGAATTGCTATGGGAAATATTCAGATAAAAATTCTAAGACAAAATAGCTTATACACAACATCTCTGAACTGTATGTTATGTCACGCACTTGGCATCATTACAAAAACTTATTCCATACAGGCACATGTTTATGTGTTATAATAATAATTATGTCAAATATAAACATATGAAAGATATCCGAAATCTAGATGAAGCTCATTATACCAATTATGTGAAGTAAAACCACACTGTGTCAATCTAATGAAGCAAAAAATACACCATACCAACCATGAGAAAACACACTATACAGAACAAATGGAATCAAGAATAAAAGCGCACTACATCAATCATACAAGGAAACACATTTATATGGATAATACTAATTATTTGGAGGTAAAGGCTTAAAGATTAGTTAATCATATGTTGAAAAAGCAGGATTTGTAAAAAACAAAATAAAACATAATTTATAATAGGTTTGTTCAATGTACAATGTATATACAAATGTAAAATATCAAGCATAAGATCAAATAACATTAACTGATGAATAACTTCCTTTTTACAGAGACATTAACACATAGTAAGTGTAATAAAATGAGACAATCAAATCCTGCGATAAATATGTAGCAATATTCTAACATATTCTTGTCAAACTTACAGCAATAGAAAAAAACGTGATATCAATGGATCATATAAACAAATTATGTACAAGGAAAAACACAAATTATGTACAAGTAAAAACACAAATGATGTACAAAGAAAAACACGGACAGATTAACCGGAGTTTAATTAAAACAAATCACAATGCATTATAATACACTGAAATAGGTGAATTCATCAATTTTTCAAAGATGTTTTTGTAATGACCAAATTAGAACAATTGTCAATTGTAATACACATGATGAATTAAAACTGACATAAATCCTTAATAGTTTTTTCTGCTTATCAATCATTTTCGCTCTCAGGGTGTTTTTTTTTTCAAAACAGAATTATTTTTTCAAAACTTTCAAATCAGAAGGTAAGAAAATATTCAAGTAATTGTTGGTCCCGATATTGACCCTGAATTGAGACCCGTTTAAGCAAACTAAACTAGGAAAATGATGATTAATTATTGGACAAATGAATTATTTACACAATGTTAACTAAATGTATCACTTGCTAGGAATAATAATACATTCATGCAATGACATAAGTTAAATAAATGAAAGATACCCAATTTTTGGGTACAGCTGACACTATTCGAATCACATGGATCAAAAATCCTATATAAATCATACAGGGAAAGAATGCAATCTACAAATCATTTAAAAATTAAGTGCTAATCATGAGATGAGGAAAAAAGGCAGATATTTGGTAAAAACAAAACAGAAACATATTTTATAAAAAGATTGTACAAAGAATATATACAGTACTAGATAAAATACTAATGAGGAGGGTATGACTTGATGAACAGTTTCAGACCTATATTTACAGTTCTATTTAGGATAACAAAGACTGATAAATTGATAGGGTCAAATCTTGTTGGACATAAAATATGTACATCATAAAATATATGTACAAACAACATTTCTTGCTAATATTCATATGAATTCATATCCTACTAAACAGCACTAAAACAACTGAGTACATGTACAAATAACAGGTATATGCAAGAACAAACAGAAGGCTTGTCCAATCAATAAGTTGGTTAACTTGATAAGCTAATTACCATTCATTCATGTTTTAAAAATGATCTGATATGAACAATATGAACAAAAATATACATATGATACATTGTTCAAAAGAAAAGAAACATCATCTATAAAATCGAAATCTGATTTTGTTTTAACATGTTATTTCCCTAGTAATTCATTATTGTTAGCAATGCTTCTTAAATCATTGAAACGTAACAACTTCAACCGTAATTCAAACAAGTCTATGGAATAAAGTCAAAGAAAACTTTAACAGGATTACAAAACAATTGAACGAAAAATATGAATGATAAAATGAATTAGGATCACAATATATGGATTGATTTCTAAAACAAAATGTCAAATCTTTAAAAATGCTTATCAAATTAAATTTTGTTCCTAATATTGATCCTTAGCAATATCAGAATAAGGACAAATTAACACTGTACAAATGAAATATTTTCAAAATACATTCTTGGAATACATATTACATATTTAGTAATGCTAATGGTGAATCAAATAGCAAAAGTAGTTTAGCTAGATTTTTTTACAATACAAACAATAAAATCCAAAAATAATTCATAATTTTAGTTTTTCTCTTCAGCAAAAAAGATGGTTACAAAATATTTCTCTCAAGGCACAATTTATGCTTAAGAATAATTACAATATTAATGAACTGTCAACTCATCATTCATTATCCCTTACACTCTTCTATTTATGGTGGTATTGCAGTGCATATCAAATGTATGGCAACAATACCTTTTGAAATTTAAAACTCAAACATATCATCTTTTGTTAAAAATCACATTTGATTACAAAAATATTCCCAAACACATTACATATAAATATTCTATTACAAAGTATTTCCCAAACACATTACATATAGATATTTTATTTACAAAGTATTTCCCAAACACATTACATATAGATATTTTATTTACAAAGTATTTCCCAAACACATTACATATAGATATTTTATTTACAAAATGTTTCCAAAACACATTACATATAAATATTTTATCAACAAAGTATTTTCAAAACACATGTTACCAATCTGTTCTGGAAATGTTAACTATATTATGAAGATACTAAACACATGACACTATATTTAATGGCAGTTAAGTCTACAAAGTATTTATCAAGCACATGGCACAATTATGTATAAATGTTCCTGTTACAAAGTATTTTCAAAACACAACACATAAATATTTTATTTACAAAGCATTCCCAAACACACAGCATCAATCTGTATAAGTGTTTATTTTACAAAATATTTCATAAACATATGACACATTTGTCTAAACTGTTTCCATGGCACGCCTCTAGAAAGTTCAACTGCAATCTGATGGTGGAAAAGAAATAACCCAGTTTAACAGAAAGTGCATAATGTTTACATAGAAAAGACAGTAATTCTCGTAATTTTAGGGTCAATGCAATGGAATAGTTTTAACATTCCTAAATCTTAAAGATCATAGTGCTACCTAAGAGTTCCTCAGATCATAGAACTATACTCTTTAGTCAAAGGACCGACTTGAAAATTAATTTGTTTGTGCTAATGTTTTAACATTTTTTGGTAATATCTTTTCAGGTCCACAACACTGATTTTCCTGGAGAGTTTCCTGGATAACAAAACCAGTAATTATCAATGTCTCTGCAAGTGACCTACCATTAATGTTACATGATTTCTAAATATGCGATGAGAAACAACTGACCATTAGACACAATGTTTGACATCAATTGTCACAAAGATAGAATAAGCAAACCGTGAAACCCTGATCAATTACTTAATTAAATACTCTCCCTATTGAGCGAAACCTGGTATAGGTTAAAATCTCTCATTGCTTCAAAATCAAGTTTGAATAAATAAATAGTCATTTACACCAACAATTTTTATTCTTTCATGAATAAATGTGTCTTTTAAACACCTAAAGTTAACGAAAGTCATCCAAACCTTTAAATAAAACTAGAACTGCCACTGTCATAGTGTGAATACCCCCATACCACTTTGTCAGAATCAACAGTGGTCATTTAAAGCTCAAGGACAACCTCCCAGCCAAATCTGAGGGTAGAAAGCCAGTGCATTGCTAAATTATGCATTCTACATGTTTTTGTGGCAAAGATCAAAATCACCTTTACCTTTGACCTCAAAACTGACATTGCCACTACATGACTTGAATACCCCCATTCATGCAGCTTTGCCTGTTTTATGATGAATATATGAGAACATAATTATATGCTCTAAATGTGAAAATGTCAAAATCAATTACACTTTAGACAGGCATTCTTAAGCATTTGAGCAGACAAACTTATTGTAGTAAAAGCCCTGTGACATTGACCTTTGACACAGTCACCTAAAATCAATAAGGGTCATCTACTAGTCATAACCCACCACAATACTAAATTTCAACACTGCTAACCAAAGCATTCTTAAGCAATTGAGCGGACAAGCTTTTGAACTAAAGGCCCCTGTGACATTGACATTTGACCCAGCAAACTCAAGATAAATAGGGGTCATGATCAACCTTCATGCCAAATATGAAGACTGTGGGTCAAAGGAGTCTTAGGATATTTTTTAGTCAAGGCCCCTGTAACCATGACCTTTGATCCAGTGACCTCAAAATCAATATGGGAATATAAAGATTGTGGGTCAAAGGATCCTTAAGTTATTTGGCGGACCAGCTTTTTAGTCAAGGTCAGACCTAGTGACTTCAAAATCAAAGGGGTCATCTTCCAGTCATAACCAACCTCAATGACAAATATGAAGACTGCTGACCAAAACACTGTTACGCAATTCAGCAGACAAGTCTTTTGAGCTTAAGGCACTTGTGACCTTGACATTTGACCCAGTGATTTCAAAATCAATGGGGACCTTTACTAATTAGGACTAACCTCCGTGGCAAGTATGAAGACTGTGGGTCAAAGGAATCTTAAGTTATTGGGCGGACAAGCTTTATATAGTCAATCCTCTCTGACCTTGACCTTTAACCCAGTGAACTCAAAATCAATAGGTGTCATCTACTAATCATGACTAACAACTATGCCAAATATAAAGACTATGGGTCAAAGAAATCTTAAGTTATTGGGCAGGCAAGCTTTTTTCAGTCAAGACCCCGGTGACCTTAACCTTGAACCCAGTGACCATAAAGTCAATAGGAGTCATCTACTAATCATGACTAATTTTCATGCCAAATATGAAGACAGTTGGTCAAACGAATTTTAAGTTATTGGGCGGACAAGCTTTTTTTCAGTTAAGGCCCCTGCGACCTTGACCTTTGACCCAGTGACCTTAAAATCAGTAATGTCATCTACTCATCATGAGTAACCATCATGCGAAATATTAACACTGTGGGTCAAAGGAATCTTAAGTTATTGGGCGGGCAACCTTTTTTCAGTCGAGGCCCCTGTGACCTTGACCTTTTACCAAGTGACCTCAAAATCAATAGGGGTCGTCTACTTATCATGACTAACTTTCATGCCAAATATGAAGACTGTGGGTCAAAGTTATTTGGCGGACAAGGAAAAACTGACTGACGGCCGAACAAACAAGCTGATTCCAATATACCCCCTGATAAATTTGTTGTGCGGCGGAATAAATATAATAAAATATAGTACGCAACTTTTTAATCCTGTAAAGATTTTTATTGTTCGCTACATGTCTTTTCACACATTACTTCAGTCAGCTTTATCGACTCAGGAGTCCTATTAAATGGGGAAACAAATGTTCAATATAGTGACTTAATAATCGACTATTTTGATGTCTTTCTTAAACCTCAAAAAATGCTGCTTCGTTACAAATAACAGTAAGAATTGCTTAACTTTGGCATACCTTTAAGAAATTTGGCATTTATTTAAGATTTCCTCAATTTTTTCACAGCTTTCTTTTGACGAGTCACCTTGGCTACATTTTCTTTAGATTTTCCTTTCCACGAAGCGATAACACGGTCCATCCGCACCTCCCCTTGCTTTTGTGCCTACATAATTGTCATCAACAAAAATAAGATACATTTCAAAATTTTCTTTTTAACTACAGATGAGGCAGCAAAAGCTTGTACACTGAAATTTATTATAAGTTATAAAAACTTATAACAACAACTCATTATAGACATATATTGCTTCTTATTTATATGGTATAAGTAAATTTTATATGAAAATTTTCAAGGAGTAAGATGATAAAATTCCAAGTTCAAAAGTAAAATCTCTTTGTACTAGATTTAATCATCAATAATAATCTCATTAAATAACAACTGTTAGTCAAGCCAAGCACCAATGATTATCCACCATTACCCAGCTATACCCGGAAGTGAGTAGTCTTTGCCACCAGTATAGAGCCAGACCATTCTACAAAATTATGCAGTCTGGCCAAGGTCCATACTGTTGGTAAATTAAAAATTTTCAAGTCTTTAAAAAATTCAATGCACTGTTCCAAATTTAAAGCAAGGCAAGTCTATTACACAAATTCAGCAGGTTAAGGGTTAAATAAATTATGTATTGATCCCTAACAAATATATTTATCGTTTTATTACATCTCCAAAACAAGAGGTGTAAGCAGTAAAACCAAATCAATTTTTCAACTCACTTATAGTGCCGATCATAGTGTAACATTCAATATATTAAGTGCGTCGTTAGCCTATCTTTGTATAAACCAAATGAGTCAAATAAAAATGGACATACACATTATATTTTAGCCATTGTGGAAATGATTCATACTTGGACAAAACAATAAGTGTGACTAGACATACCTATTAAAATTAAAAAAGAAAATGAGAATTTAAGCAAATTCAATAATTTAATATTGACGGTCTTGATGGTCAAGGTCATTTTAACATCAGGGTCAGTTCAACCATTTAGAAATTATTGTCCAAATTAATATTTTGTCAAAGTATGAAGTCAATTTATCAATTACTAAGTTACAGTCAGATACTGCGGTGGCTAGAATGTTATAGCCACTTATAGCTACAAGAGCGACCAGTGATCACGTGTCGCCTCATGACGCCTATTGCATGTTGCAGCTACTGTGTAGCAGAAGACATAAAACTAAAGAACAGGTCAAAACGCGTCTTTTATCCAAGGACCATAACTCAGCCAAAATCATTCTATCGGAAACCCGTGTAATATGTGCAAATACTTGAGCTACCGGTCAGTCCTGTAAAGTTCTACTGAAATTGCTTTCGTAGTATAAGAGGAGTAATCCGGACAATTTTTAAGTTGAAATCATTCAAGGGCCATAACTCTGAGAAGAGGGTCATGATGGTCCTGAATCGCTCAGAACAAATGTTTTTCAGTGTTAAAAATTATTTTTCAAATGAATTAGTCTAAAGTCAGGCAAGTACAGCCTAACTTCAACTTTATCCTCCAGATATAAGTTTCCCGACAACGATTTTCAGGTTATTTTTCTTCATAATAAAAATGAAACCTTTTATAAATGACCCAACTGCATTTTTGCTGTTCATCTGGAAAGTAAAGCATGTCAATTTACGCTACTAGAGTTCTTTTAATTGTCTGCTCTCAGGGGCCAATCAAATTAATTTGAGCAAACTTGATCATCCATCCATCAATAAATACAGTGAATGTTTTAAGGTTTTATTATTTTGTTAGCTTAAACCAATCGATTATTTTGAGAAAGTTTGATAAAACACAACCTAAAAATATTACAAACAAAGATTGATGACCGTCCATCAATTAGTTATATAGAAGAAGGTTGTTTAAGGTTTTCTATTTGTTACTTTGACAGCCCTTCAAAGGGGCCAATCAAATAAATCTGATAAAAGACTACCTTAGAATGCCACAGACAGGGTTTGATGATCATCCATCAATTTCTTCAGTAGAAAAAGATGTTTTAAGTTTCTAATGCCACCGCAACTGCAATGCAGTGGCATATAGCGATTCACCTTTTTATGTGTGTGTGAGTGCGTGCGTGTGTGCGTGTGTGTGCGTGTGTGTGTGTGTGTGCATATGAGTGTAGAACCTAAGAGGAATGATAAGAAATTTTCTTTCTTGTAATGATTTGCAAGGCCTAGACCTCGTTCAAGGTAGTTCAAATTATAGCTCTGGGGTAAAAATTGGTCCTGTTCAAGGGGTAATATGTTTTTGTTACATGTATTAATGTACAGTCCGACCCCGGTTATTCGACAACCCTTTATTCGAATACCCGGCATTATCCGAAGTAGATCGCCGGTCCCGTTTTTATCTCTATATAAAACAATATAAATACGAGCGTATTATTCGAAATGCATTATCCGAATACCTCCTATTTTTCGAAGTAAAATTTCGGTCCCGATTATACAATTACGAAAGAATTTCACACCTATTATTCGAAGCCAGCCTAATTATTATTCGAAGCCAGACTAATTGACGCAGATCCACTCGCTGACCAGTCGACTTGTGAAAAATATCCACAGTCATGCGTGTAATTAGACAATCATGATATAAACTCTTCGTGTGTTCTTTAATCAACTTTAATTAACGAAAATGAAAAGCTATGCACCGGGTCCGATTTTGTTTAAGATGACAGCAATAATTTTTATACATTCTGTTTACATGCATGTGAATTTGTCAAAACATCCAAAAAATTTTTTTCAGTAATTGTAACGGTACATGAGAGCCTGAATTTATCCTAATCGAAAATACCAGTTTAGCTGTAAATACCGTAGTGACGAAACGGCCATTATAAAGGCTTTGCGCGAAACGAAACGATTCATAATCTAGAATAAAATGCAAGTATTTATGTCTTTAATGTCAATACAATAATCTATACGCATCTTTTCTTTAATATCTATTTTTCTCAATTGATTACAGGAAGCAAGTGTGTTGTAAACGGTAGTTTTGCGGTGATTGGTCAAAGTGGAGTAGTTTTCGTCTATCACAATATTCCGATTTCGATTATTCGAACCCATCGATTATTCGAAGTAAATATTCAGTCCCAGGCACTTCGAATAAACGGGGTTAGACTGTATATAGTAAAGATTTTAAAAATGTATTTCTTAAAAAAAACAAGAGCTAGAGCTTAGATATTTAGCATGAAACATTGTCTAGTGATTTTCTATTAAGAATATTCAAATCATAGCGTTGGGGTTAAACATGGCCCTTCCTGGCCCTTTGATTTTCTAAAAATCACAGTTAGATAGTGAAAGGTAAACACTTCATATTAGAATGTCTTTCAATCATATGTACAATCATGTTATGCATTTTTTCTAATTCAAAAGCTGATTCAAAAGCTCGAAATAGCTTTTCAGAAATACTTGTGTTAGGTTTTAGGTCATGACATTTCAGCAAATTCGATGACAAAGACTACCTAAAAATGCCGCAGACAAAGTTTTGTGATCATCCATCAATAAGTTCAGTAGAAGAAGATGATGTTTCAAGTTCTTCTTGTATTTTAGCTTAAGTGGTACCTATAAGGAGCCAAACAAAATAATATGTGCAAATAAACGACTCCTTGAGGAAGAATGATATAGACAAAGTTTGGTGATCATCCATCAATAAAGTTAGTAGAAAAAGTTGTTTAAAGGGTTCTACTTATTTAAGCTTTAGTGCCCCTGAAAGAGGCCAATCAAATTGATCTGAGCAAATTTGATAGAAAACTACCTAAAAATGCTACAAACAAAGTTTTGTGAACATCCATAAATAAGTGAAAGATTATGTTTCAAGTTTTTTCTCTATTTTTAGCTTTAGTGGCTCCTAAAAGTGGCCAATCAAATTTATATAAGCAAATTCGATAACAGACCACCTAAGTATGCTTCAAACAACGTTTGGTGATCATCCATCAATTAGTTCAGTAGAAGATAATGTTTAAAAGCTATTCTATTTTTTTCCTTTAGCGGCCTCTAAAAATGGCCAATCAGATTAATTTGAGCAAATTTGATTTAAGACAACCTCAAAATTCAAAATGTTTAAATGCTTTTCTATTTTTAGCTTTTGGGGCCAATCAAAGTTATGTGAGCAAATTTTATAAAAGTCTACCTAAGAATACTACAGACAAATGTAAGTGATCATCAATCAAAAAGTTTAATCGAAGATGTTTAAAGGTTTTTCTATTTTTAGCTTTAGCGGCCCCTAAAAGGACAAATCAAATTCAAATGAGCAAATTTGATAAAAGTCTACCTACAAAATTTGGTGGTCATGTATCAAGTAGTTCAGTAAAAGATGTTTAAAGGTTTTTTTTCTATATTAAGCTTTAGCAGCCCCTAAAAGGGGCCAATCAAATTATTATGAACAATTTGATTAAATGCCACCTACGAATGCTAGAGACAAAGTTTAGTGGTCATCTTTCAATTAGATCAGTAGAAGATGTTTTAAGGTTTCACTTTTTTTAGCCCAAGCAGCCCCAAAAAAGAGCAAATCAAATTTATATGAGCAAATGGATATACGATAACCTAAGAATTCAAAATGTTTAAATGTTCTTCTTTTTTTTAGCTTTAGGGGCCAATTATAAGTTATGTGAGCGAATTTGATAATAGTCTACCTAAGAATGCTACAGACAAAGTTTGGTGATCATCAGCCAATGAGTTCCGAAACAGTAGTTGTTTTAAGTTTCTTTTTTCTATTTTTAGCTTTAGCAGCCCCCGGAAGCGGCCAATCAAATTGATGTGAAAACATTTAATTAAAGACTACCTAAAAATGCCACAAAGTTCGGTGACCATCCATCAGTAAGTTCAGTAGAAGAAGACGTTTCAAGGTGTTTCTATTTTATTTTTAGGAGCCCCTTAAAGGAGCCAATCAAATAAATTTGAGCAACTTGATAAACGACTACATAAGAGGGCTACAGGCAAAGTGTAGTGATCATCCATCAATTAGTTCAGTAGAAGAAAATGTTTCAAGGTTTCCTTTTTATTTAATTGATATGAACAAATTTGATAAAAGACTATCTAATAGTTCTACGGACAAAGTTCGGTGATTATTCATCATAGAGTTCAGTAGAAGAAGACGTTTCAAGGGTTTTCTATTTTAAGCTTTAGGACCTCCTAAAAAGGGGCCAATCAGATAAATATGAGCAAATTTGATTAAAGACTACCTAAGAATGCTGCAGCCAAAGTTGGTGATCATCAATCAATAAGTTCAGTAGAAGAAAATGATGTTTCAAGTTCTTCTTGTATTTTAGCTTAAGTGGTACCTATAAGGAGCCAAACAAAATAATATGTGCAAATAAACGACTCCTTGAGGAAGAATGATATAGACAAAGTTTGGTGATCATCCATCAATAAAGTTAGTAGAAAAAGTTGTTTAAAGGGTTCTACTTATTTAAGCTTTAGTGCCCCTGAAAGAGGCCAATCAAATTGATCTGAATAAATTTGATAGAAATCTACCTAAAAATGCTACAGACAAAGTTTTGTGAACATCCATAAATAAGATCATGTTTCTAGTTTTTACTCTATTTTTAGCTTGAGTGGCCCCTAAAAGTGGCCAATCAAATTTATATGAGCAAATTCGATAAAAGACCACCTCCAAGTATGCTTCAAACAACGTTTGATGATCATCCATCAATAAGTTCAGTGGAAGATAATGTTTAAAAGCGTTTCTATTTTTTTTTTCTTTAGCGGCCTCTTAAAAATGGCCAATTAAATAAATTTGAGCAAATTTGATTTAAGACATCCTCACAATTCAAAATGTTTAAATGCTTTTCTATATTTTAAGTGATCATTAATTAATTAGTTCAGTAGAAGATGTTTAATTTTTTTTATATTTTTAGCTTTAGCAGCCCTTAAAAGGACAAATAAAATTCAAATGAGCAAATTTGATGAAAGTCTACCTAAGAATGCTACAAAATTTGGTGGTCATGTATCAATTAGTTCAGTAAAAGATGTTTAAAGGTTTTTTTCTATATAAAGCTTTAGCAGCCCCTAAAAGGGGCCAATCAAATTAATATGAGCAATTTTGATAAAATGCCACCCACAAATGCTAGAGACAAAGTTGAGTGATCATCTTTCAATTCGTTCAGCAGATGAGGTTTTAAGGTTTCACTATTTTTAGCTTAAGCAGCCCCAAAAAGGAGCAAATCAAACTTATATGGGCAAGTGGATATAATTAAGATTACCTAAGAATTCAAAATGTTTAAATGTTTTTCCTTCTTTTTAGCTTTAGGGCCAATCATAAGTTATGTGAGCAAATTTGATAATAGTCTACCTTAGAATGTTACAGACAAAGTTTGGTGATCATCAGCCAATGAGTTCCAAAGCAGTAGTTGTTTTAAGTTTCTTTTTTTCTATTTTTAGCATTAGCAGCCCCCTAAGCGGCAAAATCAAATTGATGTGAAAAAAATTAATTAAAGACTACCTAAAATTGCCACAACGTTCGGTGATCATCCAATCGAAGTTCAGTAGAAGAATACGTTTCAAGGTGTTTCTATTTTATTTTAGGAGCCCCTAAAAGGAGCCAATCAAATAAATTTGAGCAAACTTGATAAAAGACTATATAAGAGGGCTTCAGGCAAAGTGTAGTGGTCATTTATCAATTAGTTCAGTAAAAGAAAATATTTCAAGGTTTTCTTTTTATTTAGCATTAGTGGCTAATCAAATTAGCAATGAGCAAATTTGATAAAAGACTACCTCAGAGTTCTACAGACAAAATTCGGTGATAATTCATCATTAAGTTCAGTAGAAAAAGACGTTTCAAGGGTTTTCTATTTTTAGCTTTAGGACCCCCTAAAAGGTGCCAATCAAATAAATATGAGCAAATCTGATAAAAGACTACCTAAGAATGCTACAGCCAAAGTTGGTGATCATCAATCAATTAGTTCAGTAGAAGAAATTGTTTAAAAGTTGTTCTGGATTTTAGCTCTTTTGACGCCTAAAAGAGGCCAATTGAAATTATATGAGCATATTATAGTATGGCTGTCACAATAATACTACAGACCAAATGTGAAGTAAATCTGACCAGCAGTTTCAGAGAAGATAAATGTTGACGCATAACGACGGAAGACGAACGCTTGCTGCTACGGTTATGGTGAGCTAAAAAAACATTGAACCAGAAAATGCCTATGATATACACAAATAGATTTGGTTTTCATCATTCCTGTAAAGTGAAATTGCACCAAGAGGTTCTGAGGAGAAGTCCAGAAAAACTTCTGTATAGCTGGTTATACAAAAAACACCTTTTTTATTTATATCCTGGGCAAATATTATTCAGGCAAGACAACCATTGTAATGTGCGAAGATCTTCAGCTACTAATCAAACCTGTAAAGTTTCATTGAAATTGTATAAGTGATATAGAAGATGTAGTCCTAACAAACTTAAACAATTTTTTCATTCAAGGGTCATAATTCAGCCATATATTATTCAACCGGAAAACACGTGTAACATGCGCAATAACTTGAGCTACTGATGAGTCATTTTAAGTTTCATTGAGATTGCTTTATAGGTATAAGAGTAGTCCGGACAGAATCATTAAAGGGCCAAAACTCTGACAAAAATCATTGAACCGGAAAATGCCGACGATTCATATCTAAACTTAAGCTCGGATGAAATTGCAGCAGTGGTTTCTGAGGAGTAGTCCGGACAAGTTTTGTGACGAACAGACGGACGGGTTAATGTGCTTTTTCTTTGATCTTTATGTGGCACTTTTCCACATAAACCAGTAAAATTACTACATAAACCAGTCCGTTTTTTTGGATTTTCTTCTTTTTTAACTAAGATTATAAACGAAATAAAGATTATAGATCATTTGATGTTTGCCCAGACAGACAGACTGACTGACGGCGGATAAGTGATCCCTATATCTACAATGTACAAAGTAGTGGCGACACAAAATCAGCAGAAAAAAAAAAAATAAGCAAAATTTAGACATTTGAACTTGAAGGTCAAGGGCATTTATGACTGAAAGTCAAGGTAAGTCTGGTCTCAAGTATGAAGACGGTACATCAAGAATTTCAAAAGTTATGATAAATGTTAATGGTTGTGGACGGAATCGACAACAACATGACTGTTACAATGCCTCTATTTTTTATCTATTTTAAAAAGAATATTTACAGGCCAGATATGTCTGAACCATCTAAGTGGAATCCCTTTATGCATTTAACTTATCTTATAAATATTTATCAATCTTTTATGGTGATACCTCCATATATATATATCGAATAAATGTATTAACGACAAGTATAATGTTATAGTTACAAAGGGGGTTAACTAAAAAAACTATCTTTAAAAAGTTCAAAGAAATCTTAATCCCGCCTTACCTTAAAAATTCTATTTTAACTATAAAGTGTCATGTAAGTAGCTCCTTTACCTAACATTCCCAATGACCGAACATATCCGGTATGCCTTCTTGTAGTGTCAAGAAATGAAACAGCTTGTTCCATCAAGAATATAAAGCAGCAAACAATTAAGTTTCTTGTAAATCAAAAGAACGTTCAGGAAATGTTTTACCAGATTATCAACAGATGATACCTGTTTAATAATATTGTTTTATTAAGGCGAGAAAAGAAATGATAACTAAACCAGAACTTACCTCAATGCTTTCACTTAATGTGGACACCGCTGCTACAATGTGACATACAAGCAAAGTAGGCGGTATGACGTCCTTCACATCTTCCTCGTTGCCATCTATTATCAGTTTCTCATTTTGGAATATATGTGAGGGCCAAAATGATTTCTGACTTAGGTACTGTAAAACCTGTTGTTCAGAGTCTATTTCCCCCATGAAAACGCATCTGTAAACAAATCTTTTCAGTACTTTAAGTACTATCTCCGATTTTCGGATGCTTGTCTCTGGCATTTTACTGAAATGTTCATTCATGTCGGCATCCAATTCAGTCTCGACTAAACTCCCAATGATGCGATTTACACTTAACTCTTCAAGTAATTCATGCAAAGAAATAATATGACATAGTTTCACTCCACTATCTGGAGTTGGTAGGTATTGTGTTGGAAACTGCTGACCTACAATATTGGCTCTCTCGTGTGCAAAGTCTATCAAAGATTTCTTAGGATCATATTTTGACTGTTTTAGTAAAGTCAAAACCATATCCAAGTAATTGATAAGCTCAACAGACATATTTGCCATATCGTGATTAGATTTCACAAATGCTTCCTCTAAATCAACTGGAAGTGCTTCCTGTGGAATAGAGTGACATACCTCTTCAAGAAGAGCAACAAAATTTTTATATAGTTCATCTGTGAACACAATTCTAGGGAGCTCTTCAAGAGTGACATATGCCTTTCCAGAAAGCAAGTCAACACATAATTCCTTTTCAATATTTTCAAAATCGTAAAAGATTTGTTTTCCTAATCCATATGCTAATCCACTGTTTGATTCTTGAGCTAAACTTTCATCCAAATCAAAGGTTTTTTCTATCAAGTGCACGCTTTTTAATTCTGTAACTGGGACGGCTTTACAACAAGCAGTATCATCATCTCGAAGTAAAAACTGAAGGTTGTTACAAGCAAATGAATGTGTCAGTGCCATATCAATAAGACCATTTTGAATGTTAACAAGGTAGGACAAAACTTTATAAATATCACAGGTGGTATCCAGTACTAAGCACTCAGCCATCCTTGTTTTAATAGAAACTGACATTGTCGTTTGAAATCCTTCAGTGTCTTTTAATAGATCTTTTAAAGCGTTCCATGAGTTTTTAAATTTTTCAAATATTTGCTTACTCATTTTCTGCTTCTTAAGGTCAGAAATTTTTGAGTGAAATTCTCCCACAGTCAGTTTCAAACATTCTGTACGTTTGAATACGTAACTGATATTTACAACAGTTACCACATGCCACTGAACTATATTGTATATATGTTTGGGCAGATTAAACTCATCTTCTTTTCTAAGAAACATTATCAAGAAGGGAAACTTATCTCTAGTAAAACAAAGCTGAGTTTGAAAATCTTCTCTAGAAGGTTTTACTGGCTTTCTAAACAGTGTTGAAAACTCTTCGTACCTTTCTGTTTGTTCTGTATTTTCAAAATCGTTAGCCTCTCGCATAGCACTTTCTACACACTGTTTTGGCAAATTATAAAGGTTGTTACATTGATAAAGAGTATGCTGTATAGTTACTGCACGCTTATCAAGAATTTCTGATACTAAATCATCAAATTTGCTCTCCCATTTTATTTTCTGCGATTCTGATAATGTTGAATATTTTTCTTCAAAAATGAGTTGCTTTCCTTTATGCAAGAGTGAATGCATTAAAATTCCAACATCATGGTCATCCATATTCAAAAATATTTTCAGCTCTTCCCAGTTGTTAAGTATATTGCTTTCTAGTTGGTGACAGACATCAATTTCTGGGCACTGGTTCCCCAACACACCTTCTATTTCTGAATGTTTTGATATTTCCAGAGCAATCGAGCCTAACAAACATCCATTTACAAGAAACTGCAAAGTACATAGGGCGACATCTGATAATGTCCTCATTTGAAAACTGAAAGTTGAACACATGGCTGTTTGATGAATAGGATTTAATGTCAACTGTTTACTTGAAATCTGTACATTGTCTATCACAGGTTCATTGCCACAAACTGGGCAAGCATAAGAAGTACCCGAAGAACTCTTGAAAAATAAACGCCTGTTACACTTACAAAGTGCAAATTTTCCATTATCTTGAAAATAAATGTTTTTTCGTTGGCCGATTAATTGAACACTCTCCGAGAACATGTAACCTTTTACTTCTTTAGGATTAAGTAGACATAAGCCTAATAATGAAGAACCGTCATTAGAATCATTGCAAAAAGCAAGCAAGCGTGCAAAAGTAGACACTAGTATAGAGTTGATCATGCATTGCTGAAATTTAGACTCTTCTCCATGCATGAAAAATTTACATACAAAATCTCGTTTGCCAACTAAACATTCCACCAAATTATATTGTTCTGGGGGTAATTTAAGAAGCTTGGTTTCTTCCATCAGAAGTGCTGCATGCATCCTGTCTTTGTCATCAAGAGATTTTCTTTGTCTAGACATGTACCACTTTTTCATTGTAAGTGTATAAAGAAGCAATAAACCAGACACTGGTTGTTTTAAAGCAATTTGAATGAGCTTTGACATACTCTTTTTAAAAGCTTCAGTTGATTGTTCTTTTGCCACGAACCCTTCACCTTCATGTAACAATTTATCGTCAATTTCTATTGCTAGCGGATTGTTTTCTAACGAATTTGACAAATAGTCATCTGACCAATTTATTTTTTCAAGAAATGACCAATTATCTGATAGGCTTCTACAATAGTTCCTTACATTGTAAATTGAGGAATCTTTGCCAATCACTGTCAAAAAATACTCTAGCATTGGCTTGTCTATATTACTGTCGTTTAAGCCACATAGTACTGCATTAAAGGCAGTAAGCAAATTCTTTATTATTTCTGGTTGATCTGAGCTAGAAATTTCCGCCTCTGTTATAAGTGAAATTGCTGCCTTTGAGTATGCAACTGCAGAAATAAAAGCTAAACCAATATTGTTCTCTTGCAATATTTGCCCAGCAAGTATTAATTTATCTTCTGTATTTGAAATACTTTCGTCCTGCTCATATGTATCTTGTATGAGATCAATAATTAGGAGGACAAATGGGCTTGCTATTCGATCTTGTTCGTTCAAAACATGTAAACATCTGTCAAGTGTATTCAAGAAAAGACTAGATTCTAAAAGAGCATCCCTGTTTTCAGCACTTGTAGCGAGATCCATGAATATATTTTCATTTTCATTTTCATCTAATTCATTTTGAATTAAATATTTTACAGGTGTCTTTAGTAGATGCATATCACCTTCTGGTAAAACACCCTCTTCTATAGCTGTAAACAGATATATGAATGCCTTAGTTTCTGTGTTATTTGACAAGCATCTCATCAAAAACTGACAGATGACCCTCTGAATCGGTGCTGCCGATTCAGTTTCTTTTAAATATTTAAAAAGATTCAGCAAATTGCTAAATACCGATTCTGAGTCAACACTTCCGCAAACCAAGCTCTCACCAATACCATGTAATGGTTCAAGTCCCAAATTGTAAGGCAGGACAATATCAGTGACAATATCATTACATAGCCTCAACGAATGTAGAGCTTCTGAATCAGTTGACACTTCAGCGGTCACAATCAAAATATTTTTAACAGTCAATTGCCAATTCTTTATTCCAGAAAACTCACTCATACATTCTTTTGTTGGAAGAAGCCTTGTACACACAAATGAAACAAAGCCCTGGATGTTGTCAGTCGACAAACAGTTCGCTTGTGCTTGGTCGCTATCCAGATTGGACTGCTCTGTTTCATAAGATGTATTAGAGTCATCTTGAAATAATTCATCATTTTCATTTTCCTTCATATCATCTACTTTGGTTACAGCTACATTTGTGTATTCTTTCGGGTTCTCTTCAGGATGTTCCAAATCAAGTGATGGCTTAAATAGTTTATCTTGACCAATTCTTCCATACAGAACATGATCCTCAGCACATATATTGCTTCCATCTAAGTCAATATTGACACATTCATCAGAAATTTCACCTTTCGCTATTGTATGATGATCAGTATCAAATTGAACATTTGAATCTTCGACAGTTTTTTCATGTGTATGTAATTCATTTATTAAAGCTGTGTTTATTTCTTCTGTCTCAAAATTTTCGAACAAAAATTCAGACTTTTCAGATGAATCATGTTTATTATCTTTACTTAAAAGATGATTCTGAAACTGGACAAAGATATTTGAGCCACCTTTAAAGACGTTTGAACATAATTCAAACAGTTGTATTATTGAATCAAACAAATTTACATGAGACCAACCTAAACAATGAATATTTGTTAGCAGGTGTACATTGTCAAGAACATTTATGTCACCTCTCTGTTCTAAAGTCCATCTCATATATTCAATTCTGCTTTCTTTTTCAAGGACATTTGAAAATGTATATGAATATAAATTACAGAAATCTGTAATATAATCTTTCATTAAAGGTGCTGTTATTCGTTCAGCTTCAAATATGTCCGATATCTTTTTCAAAATGAAACTTTCCTGCTGCAAACAAATTTCATGTAAGATTTCATCTGGAAGATGATCTTCGACTTCTAGTTCACACTTCAACTTTGAACGTTTAACCTCATCTGCAAACAAACTTTTGGTTTCCTCAATACTCTCGAAAATAATACGACTGAACGGCAATCTCAATTCAAGATCTGGTGTTTCACATTGGTAACATTCAGGTCCGCTTGCATCTTTAATTTGTTTGTCTTCAATAGAGTACGAAAATAGTTTTTCATTATCTTTACTTGCGCACCATAAGTTTCTTCTTTCTGTTGTTAGTGAATCTTCAATGAAAAAGCTATCAATAGCTCCTACTTGTTCCAATTTGAAAATAATCTTTGCCAAAGGATTTTTGATAATTCTTCTAATGTGTCGCTCCAGTGCATCTACAAAGAAAGAAGACGTGTTCAACGATTTCGTATCACAAGCCACTGTTACATACCAGTCTTCGTTTAACTGGCCCTTATACCAGTTTTGAACATATGACCAGATTAATTCACTGATAATTTCAAGGAAAGTCGGACACGAATTCATTTTCTCAATTATATGATTGATACTTTTCGCATTTCGACCGTGATTTCCATACTTTATCCTTGTAAATGCCCAAAATAGTTCTTCTTGTATCACATCTGTCATTGGAAGCATGACTGCTATCGTCTCAAGTAATGTCCTTGAGCATAAGGCCGGGAGCGTAATTCGTGGGCACTCCAAGCTTTCTAGAAGAAGCAATTTCCAACCTGACAAGTAATTTATCTGTGATACTAAGCAGGATGATTCTCCATTGAAATACGATACATCCCTACTTCCTAAATGAATAATGAGATAAACAAATTTCATTGCTGGTCCTTTCGACGATTCAATATACTCTGACCTATATTTCTCTATCAGGGACTTTGTCAACATAACGTGTTTGTCATCTTCCTGAGCACTGCAATGGATTAATAATAGTTGCTTGTCACTCTGCCAAAATTGTTGCAGCTTGATAGAAAGTTGCTTTTCTGATTTAAATGCTCCTAATTTCTCTCTTTGAAAGTTCCAATTTGCCAGTTCATCCGTAATATTCGTATGTATATTACTGTTGGTAAATACTACAGTCATATTGCTGTTACTGTCTGTGTTTTTCTGAAAATGTATTAAATTCCCGATACCTTTATGCAAAGGCAGATGAAAATAATCGGATCGAATTTGTAAACTCGACTTTTGTATATGAAAATCATCAACTACTGGCAATCGCACAATAACTTCTGGTCTTATTATCCATAGTAATTCTTCCTTGCATTTTTCTATAAAAGTGAGATTGAACTCTTCGTCCCTTCGTTTCATATACAAAACGAGAGAAGAAATAAGTTCTTCACTGTAAAATGGCATTGCACTGTATTTTGTGAATGGTGTCCCTTCTATTTGTGAAATTTGTTCCATCCAGCGATCTAACTCTTCAACAACTTTTATTTCCTGAGAATGCATTACATCTGCAAAAGAAAGAACTTGTTTTTCAAATCTATTCAAGAATGGTGGATCTGAATAATTCACTTTATTTTCATCAATTAACACAATGCAGCCGAACGATTCAGCAACATGACAAAACGGATTGCTGTAGGGACCAAGAGCAACTCTACAATTGTTTTTCTTCCCGATCCTAGTGTAGTTTTGATTAAGCATGTCATACAGACTTCCATAAATGTTTTCAAGATCTTTTAGTACTAACACAATCCCTTGCTCCATACAAAGAATAATCCTGCTTAGAATTCTATAACTGTATTCATCTGTAAGATCCTCTTCAAACTGGCTTCCAAAGATAATTTCTCTTCCTTCTCTCCCCGATTGCTTAAGGTTATGTTCCAAGATACCTAGGACAGAATCACCTTTAGTCACTATCATTAGGTGTCTAGCCATTGTATCAACAATGTTACTGTTTATCAATTCAACAGAAAGGAAGCTTACTGGACCAGAATTCTGAATACACTCTTTGAAATGGTCTAACAAAGCATTGCGACCAGACTTGAGACCACCAAAATTTCTTAAAAGGCCCTCCATAATAACTTCAGATTTATTATGTAGGGGTTTACCTTTAGATGTGTTTGCTAACTTTCTTGCAATGAACTTAACAAGTGAGTAAAAATCCCGTAATCCATGGAAATTACTGAATTGAAGTTTATTTGTATAGTTAATGTATGCCTTGGCAACAAGCAACAATTCATCTTTTATATCAAGTTGTGAAAATGAGGTTTTCGTCGATGTTAAAGACAGGCCTTCATGAACTTGCGTACTTTCTACAAATGAAGTACTTATTGACATTGATGTTTCAAATAATTCTTCCGCATCCATATCAGGTCGGGACAAATGCACAGCTCTGTTCATTTTAGAAGCATCTAATGCCCAATTGGAAATACCAACAACCGCAATGTCTGGTCTACTTCTTCCTTCTGGCTCGAGTAGATTGTGCAATACTTTCAAAGGATTAAATCTTGAAACTTCTGCAAGACCGATTTCATCTAAGATCACAACTGACAGGACAGAGTCTTTGCTATTTGACTTTTGATAGTTTTGAGCTTTCTCGAATACTTTGATGATTCCATCTGAAGTTGAGGATTCTGACCCCTGGAACGATACACAATACAGCTGAGGCAATGTTTTGAAAAACTTGTCTTTTGAATCTTTTCCTCTCAGGTTACTTCTTATTATTTGCATTGCTAATGACTTGCTACATCCTGGTTTACCTACAACAAATACCGGTATCTTATTAAGAATACAAACGAGGATCACAAAAATATTCTCCTGCAAAGCAGTATTTTTCGCAGTTCCAGGTGGAATAACCATTCGGTCAATAATGTTTCTTTGCTCCGTTTTGATAACATCATGTATATCTTTCTCTTTTAAAATAAGGCTAAAACTACTCCTTTTAAAACCTTCAAGCAGCTTTTCTCGATATTTTTTTCTGTCAGCTTTTTGTAAGAATCTACTATGGTAGCAGTGCGCCAGAGCCAAAATTATAGCGTTAATTTCTAAGTCGGTTTGTCGAGTGGTTGTGTTTTCCTTCTGTTTTAAGATATTGATAAACCAAGGAACAAGAGTCTTACATCTTTCAACATCTCGCAAACTTACAACGCATGTTGATTTTTCTTTATCACGAACAAATGTTTGTGAAATTGACAATAAATCACTTAATAAGCTATGTTCCGGTGATTCAGTTTTAAATACACCGTCAACCATTCTTTTTATGTATTTCATTTCATCTTGTTCACTTAGGCTCCCAAAGTCCCAAACATAGTCAACTGTCATTTCTGGTAAAGGAAGAACCCTATACACAAGTTTTGACAAATCATCAGTTTTAACCTTCCCTGCTAGGCCAGCTGTTTGTATTGCGTCTACTGACCTTAGTCTATACGGATTACAAGCACCCATTATCACCAAATTTGGAGCTAAACTCTGTCCACTACATTTATGATGACATATGATGTCACATATTAAGCCAATGTTTTCCGATGTATTTATTTCATCTAAAAACAACCATCTTTGCTGGTCCAGTGATTCTAGACATTCTGCATTCTCTTGTCTTACAATGTGTAATATTTCTGATGAGAACACACCAGCATGAATATTCATAACTTTAAAAGGTACATCACAGATATTAGCTAAGTACCTAATAAGTGATGTTTTCCCACAGCCTGTTTCTCCCATAATAACAACAGGTACATGTGATTGAATTCTCATCATTATCAATACCATCTTTAAAAGATTGTCTGGAGTCAGTGCATAATCTTTCGAGAAATGTTGCAACTGATTTTTATCGAGTGGTAAAGGTTTTTTTCGCGCAACTTTCTGAAGCATACTTTGAAGCTCAGTCTGGCCCATAGAGCTAAAATCTGGAAGACTCTTTTTCATTTGACTTTCGAATAGTTTTTGTACATGTGCCGGAACATTTTCTTTTTTTCGATACATTGGAGATAATGTATGTATGTTTTGAGAGTGAAAAACATAGATAAGATGATTACTTTCCTCCCATCGAATCATACTGTCGACCCGATGCAGTACTTTACTGACTAGATCACTACTCTTTGGTTCTTTACAATACGAATCACCGGTTGATAATGTTGAACTTTGGGTTGATCTACAGGCGTTAACTGATCTTGCTGCGAATTCAAGAGAAACATCTATCATTGCTTTCACCAAATTACTTCTGATCATTGGAACAGTAAGTTTTCCAACCATTTCGGAAAGATGTGCTACTTTAAAAAATGCACTACATGACATTTTTTTCAACTGGTCAGATAACACATTGAGGAAAGTGTGAACAATAGAGAACGACAAGTCTGAGGAGACATTGATATGTTTTCCAAGCAAGCATCTACATGTGAAGTCAGATAATGGTTGTAAATGGTTTTTTTTAGAAAAACACAACTCTTCACTGTCAAGTACACCTTTGTCTAGAGCCTGAAGGTAATGACAAACTACTTGTACAGGACTGTTCATTTCTTTACTACAAACAAAGTCTGAAAAATTATTCCAAAGCAAATGTTCCCTTTTGAAAGCTGTTACAGTTGTCAGGTTTGTTCTTAATGAATCATTTATTGTATTTCCAATTTCTACACAGATATGGTTAGTTGGCATATAAAAAGCAAGCTTTCCGTAAGCAACATAATTCAAAATGATAAGTTCAAACAAAAATGTGTCCAACTCAGATGGATCATCAACCACTCCAATATCAAAATGCAGAGTATGGAAGCTATGAACCTTAACTTCTAACAAATTTGCTACAAGCAGGCTTTTCTTTGCTTGACCACTAACTTGAACAGTAACAGTACTTCGAGAATGTGAAACTGATCTATTTAATATTCTGGAAGTTTTACCAAGGCCTGGAACTTCGGATGTATATGTCAAGACGTTTGAGTGGCTAGTGTGAAAAATATTTTCTATTTCCTGGTTAGAAACAGGCTGTATTGTGGCTACCCTGTTGTTCAATTTATCAACAAATGGGTGGTTTTTTGAACCGCGGCAAACGATTGTTAAAAGAAATTCTGTGCACGTATCTTGTAAATTTTGGAGTTCGTCTACGAGAGTAAATTGGACTTTATTTTGCAACAGTTCAACGTTTGCTATGCAATATAGCGGCAATAAACCATAAAACTTGTATGCCCACTTACATCTTTGTAACAAGAGATCTATTTCATTCCATGTTGTTTCTCTTGTACAAAATAAAAGCTGGCTTGGTTCAGGCATACAATGTGTTGTATTCCTATATAGAGCTAGTACAGTCCTGATGACAAAGTCACTATTTTCTCCAAGCTGAGCAACAAGTATCTTCCCTTTACATACACATTCTGTTAATTTAGCTGTAGTTTGCTTATTGCCAAAGCTCTCCATATTTCTCGAGTAGATTTCCATGCCTTCGTAAATTTCATGAAGAGAGCGACCCAATTCGTCAAGTACTAATGTTTCGTTTTTCAAGCACAGCTCTGACCTATATGTATCAATCAGCAATTTTGCAGACAAACATGGATGAATAAACTTCATAATTGCCTCCACTACATTTTGTCGGGCACCACTTTCTAGAAATTCAGATATAACCCGAACCTGACATCCTTGTATGAAATTCATCAAATAATATTTGTTTCTTGTTTCATATATGCAGCTCATCCAATCTTGCAATTCTTTTTTCAGTCTATCTTTCGTTTCTGTAAGCTCATTTGGCTGCAACACAAGTTTTAACACTGTATATTTGATATGGCCAGAAGAATATAGATCAAATAAGATATCTCGTATCTCTAAGCATATATTTACATACTCTATGAAAAGTTTGAACTCTTCTTGATTTACGTTGCTTTCTAAACTTTCTCGTTCAGAGTTGAGTAACAGGAGTGCTCGACTACGGATATCTGACAATGTATTTTCATTCTTTGTAAAACTGTTTTTATTGTCTTTATATGACACCTCAAAGCTCACGTGATCACCGTCTTGCCTCAGTTTGAAAACAAATCTGCCTTTAGTTACAATACTTTTGATTATTTCTTTTGTCTGTTGCCCTCTATTTGCTACATTATTGTAAAGTGATTTCAAATTGTGAATATTTAGACTACAATCAATTATTTTATCAGGAATACTTCTTGCATTTTTCCCAAATTGCTTTGTCTGTTTCTTTAAAGTTTTGAATATCCAACGGCTACCATTTTCATGTAGCTGTTTTTCTTGTATAAGTAAAGGTAAAAGGAATCTTTTTACTTCAATCAGTGCAGAGACGGTTGACTCTTGAACGTGTGATTCAGATATATCTTCTACAGCATCAATCAAATTTCTGACGTCTTCAACAGCAATCTCTTTCAAAAATTCTAACAGAACTGATGACTTTCCTATTTCAGCCATTATGCACACTGTTTCATCATCTAAAGTATCTGCCAATGAAAATATTGTATCTAATGCAATTTGAACGTCTTGCAAGGTAAAATCGGAAATCTCTTGATGAATAAGGTCATTGAATGACTTCAAAGCTATATTTAGCTCATTGTCATTAGAAATATCACACTCAAATGCCTTCAGTACTGCCATCATTGTTTTTGCTTTCTCAATCACTTCATTTTTTCTCCAAATCTGTGTTAGAGTTGTCTTCACTGTGCGTTTGATACTGCGATTAATGTACGTTTCCACTGTTTTAATTTCGTCGGGAACATTTGCATTTTCAAACATTTCTTGTACAGACTGCATTGATACGGAAATGTTTGTTTCAAGATTTTCCCAGCTGTTGATATATAGTTGGATTCCATCTTTTTCTATAATTTTTAAGAAATCAGCTGTCTGTTGTATCGTTGTTAAGTTCTCAACATCATCTTCCTCAGATAAATTGTCAAACAGAAACCGAATAGAAAGAAGTCCATGCAATTTGGATCCGCATTGTAGAGATTCTTCAAACTTTTCAAAAATAACCCGTCTGCTTACATTCCATAGTACATCAGACTTAATTATTGGCTGCACTTTCAAACATATGTCTGGCAGTTTACGAAGTTCACCCCACAACCACTTCATCGACTGACATTCCCTCAAGGATAAAGTACCCCTTTCTATCCTTTCTTTCACAACATCTACTTCTTTCTTTACTAATGTCAGATCTACTTTCTCTTCGTCATTCATTCTAATGTTAACTTCTTGAAGAACTTCTTGTACAATATTAACAGTATCGTGTACATTTTTAACAACAGCTTTGAATTCATTTTCAATATCGTCTATCTTACTCTTCTCAATTCTTCCCATTCCCAGCTGTAGTATTCTTTTTGTTTTTCTGTCCGAAATATTCATTTTTTTCAAGAAACAAATATTAACCTCTTTACTTTGAAGCAACTGAGCTACTGTTTTAAAACAGGATATAACAGAAATGAAAGTGGTATTTTTCTTAACATCCTGTATACGGGAACCTTCTCCTCCTGCAATAAGCTCCCAAAATGAGGCATGGGGTATTTGAGCTAAAAACCTTTCAAATATATCTTCCTGCACAAATTTCTTGAAAAACAAGTCCACAATAGTGCAAACAATATCACATGTTGTCCTGTACAATGAAATGAAGAAAAAAACACACACGCATTAAAAAAATGTGTCTGATAGCAATTGTTGTTTCAACATTTTTTAGTGTAAATTAATCGTGTTTATAACTACTGAATGTTAATAAACTTAAGTAATTGGCTGTTATTTTTATTTAATTAAATGAATATACTATAAATCCACAGCAACTGCAAGGTGCATAAGTACACATGCTGACCAAATCTTGCAAACTTTCAGGCCTACAGGTCAAATAACTTTTGAGCTATGCTTCAGAAAGTTGTAAATTGCAAATAAATACTAAGTCAATGGCAATAACTCTTACAAAAACTGGAAACAAATCGCAATGCAAAGCCCTCGGTGCACAAAAATACTGGATAAATCCACAAGTGAAACCCCAGTTGCACAACTACACATGCTGACCAACATTTCTTAAAGTTTCATGACTCTGGGTTAAATATTTTCTTTTAGCTAAGCATGACACGAATAGAAAATTGTAATTTTTTTAGTAAGTCAAGAGAAATAACTCTGACAACACAGAATACATTCACAAGCATAACATCAAATGCTGATCAACATTCCTGAAAAGTTTCATGACCCTAGGGTCAAATACTTTTGGGGCTATAAGTGACAAAAGTTGAAAATTGCAAATTTTCACTTAATCAAGGGCAATCACTCTGACAAAACAGAGTAAATCCAAAAGCGACACAACATTTGCATACTTTCACATTCATGTAAATTTAATTAGTCTTGGTGAAATATTTTTGAGTTATGTGCAACACAAGTTGAAAATTGCAATATTAACTAAGTCAAGGGCATTTACGCTTACAAAACAAAATACACACAAGCCATTCAAAAGAGAAACCCCAGATGCACAACTTCACATGCTGAGCGACATTCCTGTTTCAGGACTTTAGGTCAATTACTTTGTTAGGTACGTGCCACACAAGTTAAAAATTGCCAATTTCCAAAGGCAATAACTCTACAAACACTGAATAAATCCACACGCATATACCTAAGTGCACAACTACACATGCTGACTAACATTTCCGTAAAGTTTAAATACTCTAGATCAAATACTTTTTGAGCTACTTGCGATACAACATGAGAACAGACAGACGGAATGCGACAATGTTAATTTAAATGCGCCCTATAAATGGTGAACAAAAAATAAAGTATCAAAACAAGAAATAAACAATCAAATCTTACTTTGTATTCACTCGCAAAGTGCCATGTGTACAGAAGTGATACAAAACTTCACTTGGGTCAAATCCTCTTTTCTTCAACTGATCTTGAACATGCTCTTTGTATAAATTTGAGGCAGTTGGTTCACCTTCACATAACTTTGTTATTTTGTCTACATGTTGCAGCATTCCTCTCAAGTCATACCGCCCAAGGATATCAGTTGTAACAGACATAAGAGCCTTTTTTACATCTTCTCTTTCAGATACAACTCTTAACTTCAACATGTTGCACAATTTTTGGAATGCCATTGGTATCTCACCCTCGTCCGTTAATTTCGTCATTTTGATTTCATTCACCAGACACCTTTTATAAGCATCAAATTCTAAGTAAATGTATGCATCATTCAGATATTTATTTTGACTGAATGAGACAAACAATTTTCGGACATCTGTCAATTTTGCGTCTGACCACGATTTCAAAAGAAGCAGCTGAGTATCTAAGTCCTGAAAGCATCCAGAATACTGAAGAAAGTCTTCAACATCTTTCTGAAGAAAACTTATATTCAAAAAATGTGATGAGAAACAAGTGATGACACTGTCTTCTAGAGTCCTTCGAATGTGGGACTCACTTGTAGTGAGTCCGTATTTACCTAATACAGTTGCTTTTTTCAGCAGGGTTGTTATGTCCTTTTCTCTCACACTTTTGTTGGAAAATGCTAAAATCTGTGATTTTAAACAAGCAGTTACTGCAGTAAAGATGTATTCCTTAACTTCAGCATATGCTTCATAATCAGATAAATGTAACTGATAAACATGGTCAAAGATGTCCAAGGCAATATCTAGAGGGAGATGTTGAAATAAACATTGAACAATTCCCAATGCAGATTCACTTCGTGTTTCAATATACTTCCTGTAAAATGATATACAGATATCAAATGCATCGGTCTTGCAGTGCTTTTCGTCAATGAAAATATTTTCCTTTTTAGATATACAATCCTGCAAAGCTGATAGCATTGATTTTTCTGGAAGAAATATTGATGCACGTCTTAAAAACATGACAGCAGAGAAGTTGGCTTTGTAGCCTATTTTGAAAAGATGTTTGCTCAGCGATGGCATGTACTCAACACATGATACAGGATAGTCACTCAGTCTCTTCTGTAACAAGGCACCAAGAATTTCGTGTGCTAATGTAGAATCAAGCACATTATACAGGACATCAAAGATGTTCCTACATAAAAACCCAGCAACAAATGCAAATCGAACAAGAAACTTTGGTGAACAATCTCTTCTGCTTTTCAATAAATTCTTTAAGACGTCTTTTATTGTTTGATTACTCAAGTAATTGATTTTCCTGCATATTTCTTCTATTTGCATGATTAAGTCACTTTCACTGTCCCTATCACCAACGTAAGTAGTAATATCCAGTAAATGTGCTTGGAGACTTTTTTCTCCCCGCAGCATATCTCTGTGCATAGAACTTTCTCCAAGAAGAAAACATTCAGATTTTACTTCTCTTGTTTGTTTAAAGAAATACAAAGTGTAGTCCTTAAACATGATCTCATACCAGTACAAAGATGACGGTTTAGTAAGTAAAGGCATATTTATAGTTACCTCATACATGCAATTTCCTCGATAAAACAGTTCTGTATTTAACTCCATCAAGGATTGGCTTCTTATTTGAACGTATAAGACATTCGACTCTGCAGGTACATCCACAATAAATGTCATTCTAACATGTGAGTCCTGAAATACACAATCAAACATTGTTATCTATATCAGATACATACATTGTCCTTTTGCTATGAATGATGTCAACATTCTATAAGGTTACTTTGACGTACGCAAATATTAAAAAGTATTTTAGGAGGTCTGCCTGCCTACCTTATTAGGGAGATAATTGTAATCCAGGAGATGCTCTGGTGAGGCAAAACTTCTCCCTGACAAATGATCTGGAACACTGAGGCATTTGTCTCTCACCAGTGATCAAGAAATCAAATGTGATTGGTAGTCAGAGAATGAGGTAATTAACGGTTAGTTATAAAGGACAGCAAGTTATGTGGACACACTACTGAGATATTACAACAAGAGCCCCGACCTAGCAGGAGTAACGCTCGACTTTACCTTATTTCGAAAGTCAAACACATCAGAGGAAGAATATCATTTAGAGTAATCCTGCAAAACATGTTTTTTGCAAAAAAAATATTCAAATTTCATGTTTGATTTTAACGGTCAAGATCAAAGTTATTGAATAAATCGTCATGTCAGTTTTGTCATTCATGCTGCTTTGTCAAAGAATGAATAAAGACCATGAATGAATAAGATATGACAATTTAACCCATTTCCGCATAAGCTTTTTGTAAAAAAAATGGCAAGTCTCCTGTTACAAGTTCAAATTGCTATGAAACTATAAAAAATGCTTAAAAAGTAATTAAACTTGGCATATATGTTTGGCCCATAGCCTGTGCAACGGCATGCTCAATCTTTAAATTTCATGTTACCATAACGATAAGGGGACATCTCAAAATTGCCGAAAATTTTTAATCAAAACTGCTGCAACAACTTCTCAATGGATTGAGATATAGTCAAAGGGTTTTCAATGTTGGTAACAGGTTACCGTAAGATTGATCTAAGGCCATTTTATCCTCTCACAAGTCCAAAATTCCCTTGGCGATCAGGGGGCGGCAGCCCAAACCCCTTCAAATCCCTAAATAGAAGAAAAAGAGGGCATATCCCCCCTCTCACACACCCATGATATATATTTTTAAGAAACAACAATTTTCAAACAAAAACAAGTGTTTGTGGCCTAAAAAGGACAGTCTTTACTACTTGATGCCTCGCTCGAACTCGGATGGCCGGTACAAATTTGTTCCAGAGATTGGTAGTAAGAGTTTGGACAATTTAAGTTAATTTCAGTGAGGTTTAGAGGAAAAGTCAATAAAAGGTCAAGGACATGTCGGAATAATTTCAACAAGTCAGTTTTGTCATATGTGTTCTTTTGTAAAGTATGAACCAAATCTATAAATAACAACAGACAATTTAATCAAATTTAAATAATTGGACCGTCACGGTCAATGTCTAATAAATGTTAAGGTCATAACAGAATAATTCAACACCTTGCTTTTGCAATATACTAATATGTTCTTTTGTCCAAACACGAATAAAATCTGTAAATAAATTACAAGTTACAATTTAAGCTATTTTAAATAATTTGATCTTGACGGACAATGTCATACGTGAATGATTCAACATACAGATTTTGTCATACAGGCTCTTTTGTCCTATCATAAATCAATTCCATAAATATAAAAGTTGAGGTCAAATGTAGTGTCAAGGTCAAATTAAAATCAAGGTGAAATTCTATTAAATATTCTTTTATGTCTTGCCCAACGGATTTTTTGGCACAAGAATAAAGACAATACATTCATCTATAATTACAAAGTTACAGCCATTTCATCCTATATATTATCGCATTAATAAGAAGACCCAGCTATCAGCAGCCAGTGGTCATAACGTGACATTAGCAGCTATGGTCAAGACGTATAACTGAAGTTCTTAAAATAAAGTAAAGCCTGTCGTATTTTTCATAAGTTTTTATTGTAATTTTAGTGTAATTATTTAGGATTTATAAGTGTTTCATCTGCGGATATTTTAATTAAGCAGTTAAGAAAAGTGTTTGCTTTATTCGTATTTTTCTTTAAGTTAATATTTATAGTATATTGGTCTATAATTGAAGTTCTGTTAAACAATTAGTAAATATTTTGATAGTGTTAAGTAGCAGAAACAAGAGGGCCATGATGGCACTGAAATCGCTCACCTGAATATAGGCCCCCGGGGCGGGGCCAATTTTTACCCAGGGGCTTTTATTTGAACAAACTTGGTAGACACCCATTTGAGGATATTTCATGATAAATATCTAAGCTCTAGCTGTAAGAAGACTTTTTAAGTTTTTACTATACACATATAGGGAAAAACAATGATCCCTCTCCATCAGGGCGAGGACAATTTTATCCCGAGGTCTTTTAAAATTTATTTGAATAAACTTGGTAGTCACTCACTAAAAGATAGTTCATGATTAAAATCTAAACTCTAGCTCTTTGGGTTTTTATAAGAAGATTTTTTTAAGTTTTAACTATATACATATAGCGTAAACAATGACAATTTTATTTTTCACTTTGTGACAGGTGAGCTAAAAACAACAAACCATTGAATGTTGCAGGAAAGTGTGAGATACAAAATAATATATTACATTATTATATTCATATATTAAATATAAATTGTTCTAGAACAGAATATTATTATTCATCATATTAAAATGTTCATACTGAAGCATTCAGAACTTTTTAAATTTTATTTCAAGCACTATATTATAAGATTATCCATGTGGTACATTTCTATTGTTTACATCAATATTTGAGATATTGTTTGTGCCCATTGTAGACATATTCGCTTTAAAATGGTTTATCTTTTCTTTCAAATACAAAAACTTGTATATGTCTGAACATAAAAGACAATATTTACATTTGTAGTTATACATGATATAACAACAAAATTTATCAGCCAATTTACCTGAACACCAAGGCCAAAATACGACATTTGTTCATGATATGCATGACAACACAGACAAGACAAGAAACAAGTGTTCGTAATTACGCTTATCCAGTCCATTAAAGCAAATGAAATGTATTAATTTTACCTCTAAAACAAGCTATATAGGTTTCGGTCAAATTGAGATTGATCTTTTTGAAGACACTGTCCTTAAGGTTTGTCAGAATAATCAGTAGATAGTTTTTGTATTTACTGATCGCAAGATCAGTGAATACATAGCTAACATCCACGGTCTAACACAAAATTTCCTAACAGACCTAACAACGCAAAGTAGTTCTCACTCAAAACTGCTTAAAAACCAGCAATTTAAAAGACAGAATAATTTTTAATGTAGGCAATTTAGGAATTTCAATGCATTGAAAGTTCAGATTAGTCAATAGAAATATGAGGTTACAATCACAAATTTCGCGGATGAATATCATTTTAATCAATGAAAATGCTATTTTTAGCTATGTCGATTACTGAATACTCCAGGGCGTAGTACACAAATAAATCTGACTGTCGAGTAGTGGAATATATACATGTCGGACTGTTTTGGCGAGAAGATTTTCGCTAAGTTATTTGTATCAGTGTTAAACAGGTTTATCGTGAACAAAATACCTCGAAATTGATAAGGATTACAAACACGAAATGGAAATTCTCAATTTAGAATTACAATGTATTTGTTTTTATTCAGGCTACATATTACGTATTACTTCACCGTTTTGCAGGGGTATCGCGCTCGTATCGCGCTCGTTTAGGGTGTGAGAGGCCCTTGATTCAAAACCTAGTCGAGGCAACTTTTTTTTAAGTGTCTTTTTTAAGGAAATAGCCACGATATGCAAGGATAAAGTGTGGCTGTCATAAAAAAATGATTTTTGATGCAACTCTAGTCATGCAAAATTCCATATGTACCAATCTCAAACTGTTATAGAAAAAAAATCTTAACGCAGTCGCTGCGTAAGATGAATTATAGTATATAAAAATAAACTTATATAGGAAAATACATACAGATAGTCAGTATGATTTAGATTCCAAAGATCAGAAAATACCACAGAGCTTGCAGCCCTTTGATTTTTACAACGAGTCAGCGATACACTGACGTGTATCAGATTTCAATGTACAGTTTCATTTATAAATCTGTTGCTGGGAGTATAAAATATATTTACATGTAAAGGTCAAATCGTTAAGCTAGCAAATATGCGAGGTTTTGAGACATTTTACTTCAGTTTAGGAGAGACACGCTGATAGTGTGTAGCGTTTATTTTTTTATTTTATTTTTTTTTTTTTGTTGAGAAGAGAATTTGTTGTTTTGAAGGGAGTTTTGTTGATTTGTTGAAGTTGGTTGAATGTTATTGTGGTGATCTTAATTGATCAGGGTTTATTGGTTGTAATTAGTTGTTTTGGTTGTTGAGTTATATCTGTTGTGAAGATATAATTGGTTGATATTGGTTGAATGTTTGTCTGGTCAAGATTATATCAGTTGATGCTTTGTTTTGAGAATATATGTAAATATTGGGTGCTTTAGTTTAAATAGTTTTCTGGTTCTGGTTCTCAAACTGTTATAGAAAAAAATCTTAACGCAGTCGCTGCGTAAGATGAATTATAGTATATAAAAATAAACTTATATAGGAAAATACATACAGATAGTCAGTATGATTTAGATTCCAAAGATCAGAAAATACCACAGAGCTTGCAGCCCTTTGATTTTTACAACGAGTCAGCGATACACTGACGTGTATCAGATTTCAATGTACAGTTTCATTTATAAATCTGTTGCTGGGAGTATAAAATATATTTACATGTAAAGGTCAAATCGTTTAAGCTAGCAAATATGCGAGGTTTTGAGAGATTTTACATCGGTTTAGGAGAGACACGCTGATAGTGTATAGCGTTTATTATGTTTTGTTGAGAAGAGAATTTGTTGTTTTGAAGCGAGTTTTGTTGATTTGTTGAAGTTGGTTGAATGTTATTTTGGTGATCTTAATTGATCAGGGTTTATTGGTTGTAATTAGTTGTTTTGGTTGTTGAGTTATATCTGTTTGTGAAGATATAATTGGTTGATATTGATTGAATGTTTGTCTGGTCAAGATTATATCAGTTGATGCTTTGTTTTGAGAATATATGTAAATATTGGGTGCTTTAGTTTAAATAGTTTT